TGTGTGTGTGTGTGTGTGTGTTACTTGGCTCCCAATCTCAGCCTAAAAAAGTGCCACTTCAACTCAGTTTAGCATGTGATCTAGGTTTGATGTGGTCGAATGTGACTAATTGTAGTGTGCTATCCCACAAGGCAGCTCCATTTGTGGTTATTTGATAATAACGGCAAGGTTTAAACTTGTACAAACATCAGCATGTAAAGTACACTATGCTCTTTTTGTAGTAAAGCCGTGGTCGCACACTGTTGTTATATTAGGTTGACATTATGGTTTACAGCTATTATTTACTGTTCCTGTGTTCCTACCAAACAACGTGAGAGTTGGAACAGTGCGCATTCACATGTAAATAGATGGCTTTATCTCTCCATTGTGTTTGCACACACAGACCTCCTGAAGCTGGTATATCCCACCTGAATAATTCAGTGCTTGTATTATTGTTATCACCTTATATTTCATGTTGTTGTGCATGTCTAACAGGTGCTGCCCTGCGAGTTTTCCATTTTAATATTTTTCCATTTTAAATTAATTATTAGATTTAGAGATATTATTCAGGCACATAACATCTTTTTGAAGAGATATACACTACCATTCAAAGGTTTGGGGACGGTAAAATTGTTTTAATGTTTTTGAAAGAAGCCTGTTATGCTCAGCAAGGCTGCATTTATTTGATCATAAATACAGTAAAAACAGTACTATTGTGAATTATGTACTACAATTTAAAATAACTGTTTTCAATCTGAATATATTTTAAAATGCAATGTATTCCTGTGAGGGCAAAGCTGAATCTTCAGCAGCCATTACTACAGTCTTCAGTGTCACATGGTACTTCAGAAATCATTCTAATATGTTTATTTGGTGCTCATGAAACATTTCTTTATTATTATCAATGATGAAAACAGTTGCGCTGCTTAACATCTTTGAATAGAAAGCCCAAAGAACTGCATTTTTAAAAAAATATATATTTTGTGTAACATTATAAATGTCTTTGCGGTCACTTTTGATCAATTTAATGCATCCTTGCAGAATAAAAGTTTTAATTTCTTTATTATTATTATCTGAAAATAACAAACTTTTACTTAACATAATTACATACACACACCATGTATGTTTGTACCGAATACTGTGTGCATCTAAAAAAAATGCTTTGATTAAATTCAACATTTTTCACTGCCATAATTTTTCTTTAAGTTCAGACAATAATTTAAATTCTGCATGAATTTTATTACAACATTGAATAAAAAAAGTTAAATGATAAAAATGTGAAACTAACAAGGAAAAGACAAAATCAGGAATAGTTTGTCAAACTTTACTCTATCTATCTATCTATCTATCTATCTATCTATCTATCTATCTATCTATTTATATCCATGTTAATTGCAGAGAGTGAGTGAGTTCTAACAAGAAAATCAAATGTTGTTATGCAACATTAGACCTGAATACCCCATGACTTTATTTCAACTCAATCATAGCTCATTACAGTCTTAATGCTTGTCGTCCTTCTGTCATTTATCCAACGGATTTATTTGAATAACAAGACTATAAATGCTCACAGACAAAGACAGAATGTGCATGGAGGAAAAAAAAAGCACATCACTTTCTTCCTGAAACATTCCTGTAAGCATAAACGAATATCCTACAAAAACCACCAAGAGGTACTCTCGAACAAAATAGCACTTTGCTGACCCCTGTGTGTAAAAACTGGAAACCGAGCATGTGTGTGTATGTGTTTTCTCTGCCACTTTTCTGCCATATCCAAACAAAGTGCGGTAAGTAAAAAAATTTAAACTACAATCAGAGAGTAGCAGTGATCTACCACTTCATTACAGCGGGCACTGATTGAAACGGCTATCTTTAATGACCACTCCCGGCTAACACACACACTTACAAGCCTAAACTGATGGTGTAATTAAATCAAGCTCGTTTATTTTTCCACATAGCAATCCTGATTGCAATCTTTAAATACAAACTACTCTCCCTTACTCCTATGTCTGTGCTTAAAGTACTTTTTATTCTTTATGTTGAGGAGCCACAGCGGTACAAACTCCATTTGTGATAGTGAGCATCCTGCTGTTATCTGTCATCACAGCAGATGATCCTCCTAATGGGACACCCAGAACACCTCCCATTCATTATAATGGATGCCTGTCTGTTGGCCAATGTTTCTCAGTGAGTTTCCACCTGAATTATTTAGTTCCGTATTACGGCAGCTGCTGTATTTAACTGTACGTTTTCAGCCCGCAGGTGCAGTCTGGATCTTTCCATCCTACTGACTTACAAGCCAACCATTGAGGCTTATGAATCATTTTAGACAAACAGCGGCTCGAAAAAGTATTTGAACAGTTAAGCCATATTTAAAAATGTATGAATGCACTGGCATTATATAACAAAATATCAAACCAAGTCACATTTGTTTTAAAGAAATATAGCTCAAAAACACTGGCTCAAAAAATTAGTACCGGTATTACTTAAAAAGCATAATGTGTTTGCAGATGCGACTTAAATCTGCATAATACAATGACACTGATACATTTTTAATATGACTTGAGTGTTTAAATGTATTCAAATACTTCTGAAGCCACTGTGGTTATCAAACATAACAAGTGGTAATTATTGCGTAAGAACAATTTTTGTGTAAAATTATTGTGTAAGAATAACTTTAGGGGCTGTTCACACAACACAAGATGCGTATTTGTGTTTAAAATGAGATATGCAGGGGGGTGGAGTTAAAAAAGTACAGTCTAAAGAAGGATTTAACAAAAAGAGTGCTGTGTCATGTGCGATACACTGCAAAAGACGTGATATGCGAGCAAAAACATGTCCGTCAACAATGCATCCTGTGTGAACGACCCCTCAGTATGATTGAGCTTGACAACAGGAAATCAAAACCGACTGTGAACTCTTGTTTGTACAGAATGGGATTAAGCACTTGTCAGAAGAGTGACAACCATATTTAGCGGCATTGTGTATGTGTCATTCCCTTTATGAATAAAAATAGAACACTTCTTTGTCTTCCCTGTGAAAAACTGCAGTCCAAATGCATGACTTTTATCACAGAGGAGCCATGCCAATGATTTTCTCAGACTTCACCCAAAATAAATAATTACCATCCAAATAGTGCTTAAGAATGTTTAGACTGCAACCATAAAGGAAAATACCTTTAAAAAAAAAAAAGTAATAAAAAATACTGAATGAACAACTTACAACCCTTAGCGGATCCATTGCCTAGTGATATTTTACACAGGTTAGAAGACATTTATGCATTTACAAACATAATAAAGCATGCATATTAGAGTCAGGTGTGTGGATGTGAAACTCACTTCCTTCTGTGTGCGTTTGAGGGTTATGATAAAGGTGCTCAATCCGGCCCGTGTTAAAAGAACTGGACCTGCGGAGGATACCATGAACCTGCCCAAAACAACAAAAACTTCATGTATTAATCTCATTTGAGTGTGCATGGTTTTAAACAGAACATTCTTTCAAAGGTTTGGAGTCACTAAGATTTTTATTAAGAAATTAATACTTTTATTTAGCAAGAATACGTTAAATTGATCAAAAGTGACAGTAAGAATATTTATAGTTACAAAAGATTTCTATTTTAAATAAATGCTGTTCTTTTAGACTATTCTTTTTGTTACTTTAAATTTGAATAATATTTTACAATATGACTGTTTTTACTGTATTTTTGATCGAATGAATGCAGCCTTGCTGAGCATAAGAGATGTCTTTTAAAATTTCTTTATCTTAAAAAAATAACCAAAATGTACAGTGAACCTTTAAATAAGATGCAACCAATTTAAAATTGAATCAAATGAAAATATGACTTTCATATATGATTATTAACAGACAGAGATATTTGCATCAGATCAATGTGGGAATGATTTCTGACAGGTTTGTAGGATGTCTTTCGGGGTTACATTGGCTTACCCACCTCATAACCTTTAGCCAGCAGAAACTCAGCCAGGTAGGACCCATCCTGAAACCACATAGAGGGAGAATTATTTTGGGTTTTGAGAAATACACACACACACACTCACACATTTACGGCAAGCATTACCCAAGAGAGTATGCAACACAATGACCATTTCTTTCTGAATTTCATGAGCCAGACCGCAGCGAATACACGCCTACATTATACAAAATTCTCGTTTTCGCACACGTACGCACACACGCTTGTGTCGAAACTCACCCTCATGTCTTTCCAAAGCTGTATGACTTTCTTTCATGCAACATAACTGTTTTTGCCCCAGTGGACCCCATTGTATGAAAAAAAGAGTCAAAATACTGTATGGACATTTTTTTTTTTAAATATCTTCTTTTGTGTTCCACAGAAGAAAGTCAAACAGGTTTGGAATGGCATGAGGGTGGGTAAATGATGACAGAATTGTAATTTTTGGGTGAACTATCACTTTAACAGCAGAGAACTAAAAATCCCCTCACTAAAAAGAGCTCCATACATAGTCTGCAAATAAAACAGTCGACAAGACGGCTAACAAATAAGCCAGGAGTGCCTATGGGCTACAACACACACTGTAAGCCAGTGCTTATGTTCGAATGACTTAGTAGGCTCACGTAGTGTGTGTGTCTGTAAAGAGTATTAATCAAGCAAACAAGGCTATTGTGTCAGTCAGTGTAAGTCTGACAGCTCAGTTTAAGCCGCTGAATCCACCTGACTGTCAAAAAGTGACACGGCCGTACCCTAAAGACACGTTTTAACCTAAAACATAAACAACTTTCGAGTCTCTGTCATTCTTATTCTCGTCTCCTTCTTGTTCTCCCTTTTTCCCCTCTCATACTTCCCGACCGCACATTCTAGAACTTTGGAACATTCCACCCCGGCCATGGCATTCCGCCCCCTACTTCCTGCTGGGGTGATATAGGCACAGTCCCAAAGACCTTTGGGAAAAAATTAGAAGCTCCAGCAGCCATGTGTGTGCCTGTATATAAGTATATATGTGTCAGCAGAGGAAAAGACGTGCTTAAAGATACATTTCCATTTCCTTTTCACACATTTACTGGGCATTTACATACAAACCGTTCAATGTCTGACCACCTGAGGCTCTCTGTGTGTGTATGCGTGTGACACAACCAGTGCCAACTGCAGCACGGCCTCATAACCCTGATAAAAAGCAGCTTATCATCACGCTGAGACTGTTGGGAAACGTTGCCCGTTTCCCGCAGATTACGTTCACAGACAGGAAGCCTAGATGGACACGACATTCCAACCAGTCTGTGCATACACACACACTGGCCTACCTTGTAAGCTACCAATCACTTTCTGTCTGAATTATAAAAGCTTTCAAATAAATAACTTTTAAATTCTTAATCATCTCTTGTTTTGAGTCAAACCACATGTGCGAAACATCTCCGAAATGCTGGCTAATTTGGAAAAACTTTCCATCGCAATCACCATTACCCTTATGCAGCACATAAAGATAAATCTATAGGCCTTTAGACCTCTGCAGAGACACAGGCTGATTGCTAATGGCAAACTGAGGATGCATTTATGCTGAGAAAACCAGAAAGGCAAAGGAAAGAATGAAAGCTAATCAAATAAGCCCACTTAACTCGCCCGACCAAAACAGTCCATGTGTCTGTCTCTCTGTCTGTAACGTATTATCTCTGTTTGTGTACTACTGCGTGTCGATGTGTCTGTTTGAAAAATGGGTCCCTTATATTCGCCCATGACCGCAGTAAAAGAGTCTTTCTCTCTTTACCGCATCAAAGCACAAATCCAAACACACGGCTATGTGTTCCTTTATGAACCACAAGTGGGCGCAACAAATTTAACAATTAATTGCGCATTTCAACAAAAAGACACACAATTAAAGCGTTTTTACTACTCATTTCGTCTATGACTACTGCGTCTGAAATACGCGGTAAAGGGTGCCCATTAAGGGTTTTCTGGTGACAGACCTACACCAAATTATAATCTAAAATGTATAAACTGCTCCTATTACCGAAACTTTACTGGAAACGTCTCAGTTGTTGGACTTCAGTACGATGAACTTTTTTTTCTTTTTTTTAATGATTAGCCTATTTATTATTGCCATCTGCCTGAAATAAAATCATTTAACTAACCATTTTTTATCAAGAACTTTCTTCGTTAACGTTACACATTTAAATAAATTCCGATTTAACAGTTAAATAATCTTTTGTTTCTAGCCATATTAGCAGTTTTAGAAGTGTTAACAAAACTACAATACTCATTAGTGTATTAATAATAACAATGATAATAATAACAATAACAAACGTAGACCCATAATCATAAATATATAATTAAATTTTTTTTACACCAATGGATATCCGTTGAAAATAAACAGTGGTTGCTGTTGTTTAAGTCATCGATCTTTCAGCTGATTGGTCTGTGTTCTGGCAAAAATATATTATCAGAATCAGAATCAGAAGAGCTTTATTACCAAGTATGTT